ATTGAAAAAAAAATTGGTGTCTAATTATCTATATATATAAAACACAGTTGTGTTTTGTGTAAGCACTTATAACTCGAGAACGGCTGGACTGATTTTTATTATTTTTGCTTTTTTGGATTTGTCTTTGTCTATCCTAACATAATAAAAAGTGTATTTTTTTTTTATTGTTGGTCCATTCCGAAAGAGCGTGAACTGGTCTTCCTGTCATTTCTTGACGCTTGATCATTGACGTTCTGTGGCTAAGTTCCGTTTCTCCTCTCAGGCATCCCTTGACAGCCGTGTTCCGTGCCGACTGTTCGGAGTGTTCCGTCCGGCTGGTGTCGAGTGGCAGAGAGCCAGGTTATGAGTCCGCCACAACCATTTTGTATACGGCGCCATATATGATGCCTAGAACGAAGCCCACCGATGCGCGGTAATTTCATTGCAGATGCAGTAGAACCATGCTGCTCAGGAACTGGAGATATTTAGAACAGAACTATTCCACTATTCTGATCAGATAGAGTGGTGCAGAAAGAGTAGATCAGATAGAATAGTGCAGATAGAGTAGAACAGATGGAGTAGTGCAGTGCAGATAGAGTGATACAGGGCTGCGCTGTAGATTTTTTTTTGTTTTCTTTACATTCTTTGAACATTCCTGTGCCTGAGTTTATTTATTTGGTGGTACACTTTACAAGAAAAATGCCCACAAGCTGCTTTGAAAGGGATGATGTAAAATTTTAATTTTAGGTGACTTCTGATCTAGAGAGTAAACATTAATATTCTTCAACCAAAGCCAAATTCACCATCGAAAAAAACTGAATTTAATTCATCTAATAGATACGTTAACACAACATTTAATAGGTATTTAAGAATTCAGAGGCGGTACGAAGTTCGCCGGGTCAGCTAGTTGTTCATAATATTCCTTCCTAAAATAGAATCCGTCACTGTCATCAATTAGTTTGTCAAAGTTATTTTCGAAAATGATGCAAAGAACAAACACAGCTAATAATTTTGACTATATTAACTTTTTTCCAACTCGAAAAGAAGCAAATAGAAAACGGGTACCCAATTCAAGTTCAGAATGTATTACAACGGACAGCAGATGCGACAAAAGTAAGTCTCGCAACAATTGCAAGTATTCAAATTCTCATCTGATTGGTCAATACCACTTCAGAAACGCGATTGTAAAATGCTAGTGGGAACATATCCTAAAATTCAATAGTAATTAACCACCAGTAGCTTTTTGTAGGTGATATCAACGACGTAATCAAGAACATACATTTTTTGCCATCAATATCACGTGACTTTAAAATGGTATTTGTCGGACTTTACCTACGGCAATGACAGGAATCGTCATGTTTGACAAAAAATCCATTGTAGAGAAAAAGATGATTCACCCAAAATAGCGAAAAATGACAAGACCTGTCAGTCGGGTGTCCCACTTTCTGTGCTCACGACTGTACATAAACTTTGACAGCTTGGAAACAAATGTCCTTAACCTGAAGATCTATACACACCCTGCAGGTAACACAGTGTGCAATAGAAAGGATCATGCCAGGGATTAGTTTGAGAGATTGAGTGCCAAAAAAGTCGAAGAACAAGAGTGGCAGATGTGGTGCGAAGAAGAACACAGCAGAAATGGCGATGGGCTGGCCATATAGCACGACAACAAGATGACAGATGGACTCATAGATTATGGTGCCCAAGCAAAGCAAAGAGAAGTGTTGGAAGACCCCAGAAAAAATGGCAGATATCCAGAAAATCGCAGGAGAACTGGATACAAAAAGCTCAGGACAGGAAACTGTGGAAGGATATGGAAGAGGTCTATATCCAGGAGTTGACGAATAGAGACTGAAAAAGAAAAGAAAATATGACAACAAAAAGATAACAATATTAAAAACCGAACTCAAACTGAACAAACACAAGATAAAAACAATTTGACAGTTTAGAACACATTACCACATTTACATTAACTGACATTATTTATAAAGTAATAACACTAACTACCACATTTAAAATCCGATGAGAATTGAAATCCAGCAGCACCAATCAAAACATTCTATCTTCATAAAATTCACAAGACGGTAATATGCCTTGGCGACTAGATAGTTTTTTTCTAGAGATAAGAAAACTCTCATAGCAGACCCTATCTTTGATGTCTTGAGGTAGTTGGTTGAATATTTTCACACTTTCATAAATTATTGAGTTTATTGTGAGAGAAAACTTTGGTATTGGCAGTGGTGGGTAATTTTGCCTTAGAATGTAGTTTCTGACTTGTACAAAGCAGAGAACTTTGAATGAATCAAAGAAACCGATTCAAGAATCAAAATGAAAGGTAGGTATCGTCAATATTTCCTCTTGTACAAAAAGCGGTCGACAAATTTCTCTACAGCCTGTTTTAAAAATATAACATAGGGCCCTTTTTGTAGCATAAATACTGACTGTACAGATTTTTGCGTGGAGTAACCCCAGGAAGGTACCCTGTATCTGATTCCAGAAGTGAAGAAGATATTTTAGCTTCTTTTTGCCAAGTTCCTGTACTACAGTCCTAGTAATAATAATAATAGCTTTTTTTATTCAAAATGTCAATATGAGAGTCAAACTTCAGCAATGTTAATGCCTATAGTCCAAGAAATGTTGCAGTTGTTCTGTTTTCCAGGCAGCACTTAAACGTAAGTATGTTTGTCTTTTGTATGTTAAAACATAGTTTATTTGCGTCGCACTACCTCTATTTTTGAGAGACTTTTTTTGATAGTTGTCTTGAAATTGTCTAGAGTCCAAGTCCACAGACCGGTAGCATCATTTGCAAAAGCCGTGAATTCTCCCGAATCATCATTTCCATAGAGTAGGAAAAGAATGGGTCCGAACACAGACTCCTGAGGAATACCATGGATAATCTCAGCTATATCAGAATCAATTCACATTAAACCTCTAAATACATTGAGAGAAAACAGCAGATGTAAGTGAATACAATTTTAATGAAAATTATTATAGGTCAGAAAAGTTTAGCAAAGAAACGAAACAAATGCTGAAAAAGAGAACAGAGATCACAAAACAAGAAAAAAAAGATACACCAGAATACAGAGAGACTAACAAAATAGCCAAAAGGAAAAACAAGACATTAAAAACTACCAAGAAGCACAAATCGAAAACCTGATAAAACAACAAAAAGACATTAGCGTTTTCAAAAGTGAGATCGCACACGAAAGAAAAATTACAAAACTGATGAACAAACAAGGAAACATTATAGAAGACGGACATGAAATATTGCATGCGGCAGAAAATTTCTATAATATAACTATACGACGTAAAAAGCATCAACGGAAATAACAAACAAAAAACCGAAAGCGAAACATTCAAAATCAAAATACTGAATGTTGAGAGAAGACAGAAGAGGAAGACATTGCAAAAGCGCTAAGCCAATTAAACAACGGAAAAGCTTTAGAAATTGACGATATTTGACCAGAAAGGCTGAAGGAGGATACCTTTGACAATAGCTGAAAACACTTTTCAATAAATATCTAACATAGTGGAAAATACCATACGACTGGGAGACTGCCATCGGCGTTCTGATATACAAAAAAGGAGATCCATCAAATCTTGAAAACTATAAACCCATAAGCCTCCTGTCTCAGAAATACAAACTGTTTATGAGAATAATTACCAAACGCCTAGAAAGGAAATTCGATGCTTACCAACCTAAAGAACGAGCAGGCTATAGAAAGAGCTACAGCACTATAGAACATCTTCAGACAATAAGAATACTAAATGAAAAGACAACTGAATATAACATTAACACATGGCTAGAGTTCAGCGATTATAGGAAACCCTTCAACACTGTCTGAGCGATAGAAAGAGCTATGAGAAATGCACGAGTAAATCAGCGATATATAAATATAATCAAAAATATTCAACAAAAATAAAATTAAGAATACATGAATATTAAAACCAAGTGAAGATGAAAAGAGGCGTAAGGCAATATAATATCACCTAAGCTGTTCACCCTAATCCTCGAAGATCTGTTCAAGAAACTACATTGGGAAAATAGAGGCATCAATATATCAGGAGAAAACCTCAATAATTTGAGATTGATCGTTTTTTGCGCCCCGAACGAAACAGACTTAAGAAATCATGCTGAAAGAATTACTCCAAGAAGCCAAGAAGGTCGAATTAGAAATGAACGTATCCAAAAGAGAGTTTATGACAAATTAGTAATCAGATAGGGACACAATATCCATAGAAAACTAATAGGTAAAAAAAGTAAACTGCTCAAGTATCTAGGACAGGAAATAACCCTTGGCAAAGTCAATCAAGAATTTGAAATTAATAGGAGAATATGAATGGGATGGGCGGCCACATATTCCGCCGGTCCAAGTTACCATTAAAGCTGAAAATTAAAGTCTACAATGAATGTATTCTGCCAGTACTTAGTTGCATATGGAAGCGAAACATGGAAAGGAAATCCTAGAAAAGCTGCAAGTACATCATGGAGCAATCGAAAGGAGAATGATAGGTATTACACTAAGGAATCACAAGCTGGCTTGCTGGAGGAATGTTTTTCAGCAGATCATTTTTCTCATTCCAACAAATATAGTAGGTACTTAACAAAATTAAACACCTTTATTTTACTTAAGAATTGTATGTCAAAGTTAGATATACACTAAGAACAGTATGTTTAACAGAGACAGACAAAGCAAAGCAATGGAAAAGCAACACGCGTCGATAGATCAAAAGACAGAAAAATAATTATGGATGACGTTTTGTTATGATCTAGACACATTTTAGAAACTTTTATAAAGATTTTTTTTTTTTTTTTAAAAGCTTGTTTAGCTTATATCATAATATCTCCGTAACCTAAAAAGGTACTTTTTGGATTATGCGGTCATATTTTAGTACTTGTTATATACAATGATGCCAATATCTCGTTTTTCGAAAATATTTCCCTTTTGCATTGTCTAATTTAATTTTGGATTACCTTCGGTTTTAGAATTTCCAAAATATAAGCACCCTACTAAACTTACTGTGCTAGTACAAGTACTTTCAGGCATAACTTTGCCTACACTGGGCGGCGCCACTGGTGACTCAGGCGTTTCAACTTTAACCGGATGCTCAGTGTCGGTCTCTTCTGATCCCGGCGACGGCAAGTTTTGCATTAGCTCGTTGAGCGCCGCCTGCAATGCTTGAGGATCTTCAGTTCGGTCGAGTCTACTGGCAGCCAAAGCAACACTGGCTGGAGACATCCAAGTCATCTGAAAACATTTAAGTTAGAAATTATATAATTGTCCTACTGTTTAGGTGCTTACGTTTCCCACGTTGCTTCCATCACTCGAATTACCATCGTCCTGGTACGGCAAGCTGGCCAATGAGCTGGTAAAGAGGGCGCTATAGCGCCGTTTCATTTCGCTAATGTGATGGACGCCTTCATTTTCGTCCACTTGCACGTTAACGCAGATAAATGATTCCACAATGCCCTGATCGTCGATTTCTAAGAAACCGAAGGTTTTTAGGTAAATGAATTGACCGTTACGCGATTTTAGACGGTAACAAGAGTTTCCTCGACTTTCGCCTTTGTCATACACTAAGAAAAAAAAAAAAAAATTAGATTAGTAATTTTTGAAATGGTTTAAGTTATTGCGTACTTTGTCTTAAAGCTATCATCACAAATCGTACGTCCTCTCTATGCATGTACTGGAAAGCGCTGTGGCCTTGAATTTCTTCGATCATATATCCAGCGATCAGCGCTATACGCTGATCACAACCGATTATCCTGCCATCTATCAGATGCCTGGTGACGTATTCGTCTTTGGATGCAGCTACTAGTCGGTCTACAAGTGGCTGGGGACGGCACAGTTTAACGAAAAAGATTAAAATCTAAAAAAAAAAAAAAATTATTATTCCTTGAACTAAATTAAGTATGGGTGAGAAATGGAAGGCATATAAAAATGTTTTCCATTTGGTGATTAGCACAGAAAACTTGGTTCTCTCAAGTATATAAACCCCTACAAATATTAATGAGAGTTTCGAATAGAGTGCTGCAAACTCAGCCGTATAAACTAAAACTATCCGCAAAGAATGTGGTGGTTTTAAATTAGGTCACGACTAATTCCGTTCAGAGTTTGGATACCCTAATAAGAATCACAGTTTGTTATTCCCGAAATAGTTCATGTGCCTGTCGTTGAATGTGATTACGACATTTTTGTCTCATAAATTATCAAACTATTTTCTAACTCTTCTGGTTTTTATGAAAATTAAACTGAAAATCGCATCTAAAAAGGTGGGTAGTTGGGTGGTTTATATTTCCAATCTAATAACAGTTAGATGCTAAAAGTGAAAATTCATATTGTTGTAGATTGTATTGCTATAGCTAGGATTTCTACTCAATTTTCAGTGTGCAAATAATTATTGTAAGAATACGGTTATAGAAAAGGAACATTTCTCAGTCTACAAACTTCAATAGAACCAACTTGAAGAATACACTAATAAAAAAGATCCAAAACGCGTATTGTTCCATCATTTAACTCGCCTTTGAGGGAATTTTCTAGATATAATCCTTTCATAAAGTCTATAGACTTTTTCTAGTGCGTCATCTGAGATTTTGGACGCTGATTGGCTAGATTTGCGGGGCCTCACTAGAGCCTTGGGTTAATCATTCAATTTGAGCGCAGGTCGCCCAAGTCGACTTCCTAATTTTGACGAATCAGCGTCCAAAATCTCAGATCTCAGACTTTAGTTCATATTTCATTTTTATGCCTCCAACTGAATACCGTAATTCTCAAGCTTCTCAAGAAGATTCAAACATTTAAATACCTTTGAGAAAGGGCCAAAATAGTCACTGCTTTATCCTCCACTGCAGCTAGTATTACATTAGGAAATGTCACTGACGCAACTAAACTGATTTCCGCATAATTTCCAGTTACACCTAGCTTCAAACATGGTAATTTCACATGACAATAATTAGGTTTCTGCTCGGTTTCCTCTGTTCACATTAGTTTGGCCTGTATGACTCAATTTTTTAAATTACCACTATTTTAACCCCTTGTACTGAGTAAATCTAAAAAACATTATCTTAACTCCTCAACGAATTGGCAACAGAAATCTAGTCATATATTATTAGAAATATTGTATTGCCAAGGAAAGAGGAAAAGATAAATCCCGATACAAAAAAAATTCAATTCCAGGTTGAAAAACTTTTACACTAAGTTGACTGAATGGAGTTTATGTTCGACGAACCAAATAGAGTTTATATCCGAATGAACCAAAGTGTATAATTTTTGGAACCTTACCAAAGTACATAGTTGTTCGCGTCAGGATTTGAACAAGACAAAAAAATGACACCAAATTTAATCATCAATAATCTTCACAAAGTAATTTCAGTTTGGTGAATAGAGAGTGAAGAGAATAATTTGGTTTGATACTTCGATTCTCAAGTACAGTTACAGTATGGAGTAAAATCAATGTTGAAACTGAAAAAATTGATTATTTTATCACAGCAAAAAGAAAAAACGCATGGTTTCCGAGATTAAACTAATAATGCACTCTTATGCAAAATATTTTGATCATACATATAGAAAGTAATTTGACAAATTAATTTCCCCAGTGTATCTAGGTACCTACACACACAAATTTTGATAAAAATAATGTTAACGATGGCTGAAAAATTATTATTTGACCACTTTAAGGGAAAGTATTACAGAAAGTAATATAGAAATTAAAGATAACCAAGATTCTGCACACAGATCAACTTTCTAGCAACAGAAAGCAGTAATATTTAAAAAAAAATTTGGTAAATATGTGAACTTTAAATCTACCCCGCCCTATTATATTTCATCTACTCTTTCATATTTTTATGCATATCATGTCCTTCACTTTTAACAAGTCACCTCGCCATTTTGCCTATTATTGACTCTCAGCCAAATTGTATGCATATATGTATAATAATTAGTATGTTCGATAATAATACATTAATCAGTTAGCAAGTTTACTAACTTGTTTGTCTGGTTCGAAAACAAAAAAAATATACTTACGTCAGTATTTAATGAAGTTTGTATCGAAGAAGTAGACGCAGCCGACGACATGGGACTACTGTTACCACTAGCACTGGTACTAGCTTGTTCCAAAACTGACATATTCCTATGCAAGCCCATCATGCTCACCAACTCGTACTGGGGCGTTTCCGATTTCGGACCTGCCCGCCTAACTTTAATATTAAAATATTTTTTCCAGCCTTGTTCCATCTAAAATTTCAATATGAATAATAATATAGATTATTATGTTGGTATTTTGTTTACCTCTCCTTCACTACCCAGATACATCCGTAACCTATCGTGGTCCTCGGATGCGGTTACTGTGAACAGTGATTGACCCATTAGATCTGTCTGAAAATGTAAGAAAATCGATTTTTTTATTCGGTTTAGTGAAATTTGTTGTTTTCTTACTTGTAAATGTCCTAAAAGCGTTTCGACCGTGGGCGAAACAAAGATAATTTTCCCATTCGTACAAGTGATGAGCAAAAAACCACCCATCTGGTCGCAAATAAGCTGTTCTAGGACATCCTGGTCCACTTGTGGGGGCAATTCCATGTGAGGAGCACCTTTTCCCTTTACCAAGGCTGTAATAGTAAGTGTATTTATTTTTATGTTTCAAGTTTAGGTAAGGCTTTCAAATAAAATAATAATTATAAGTAATTAGAAAACATCTAGGGTACCTAATCAAAAAGTAGATACGTAACAACAGCAAGAAAAGACATCAAACTTTTTTGGTCGATGATTGCTGAGAAAACTGCAATTGCAACTATTTTACGGAGAAGATTGAACAGCTAGCTTCGGAAACAGGATTATTATCTTCTCAACAACCCCAAGCAGCATTTTTAGTCATTGGTACGACCCGGCGACTATTGTTGGGAAATGTGAAGTTGTGGTTACTAGGGCGGCAGCGGTATTGCTACGATGCCATTATGTGCCTACGACCAAAATAGGAAAAGTATTTACTAGATACTGTGTGGTTTAGGGATTGGCAACTTTAATGCAAGTAGCGGCTACTACACTTTAAAGTCATTATTGGCATTAAGTATCACATTTCTTGTAGATATTTCAAACTTTATAGTAGCGAGAGATAACTACAAAACAATCTCAAAGTTCCTGAAGCCATGATAAAGTTCCCATTGTCACTATGAAGTTCCGACGACTGGGATAAGCTGAAAACTAAAGTCTACAACGAATGTATTCTGCTAGTAGTTGCCTATGGAAGCGAAACATGGAATTTCACAAATATCCTACTAGCACGCGTGGCTAACATCTTCAGAGGTGCTTCCATGTCCGATTCTGGTAGCCGACTGACGCGTTCCCGACCGTAAGTTGCATTTATGTGTGAGTGGCTGTGGAGGGGGAGGGGCGGGGCTTTGCAGCACGTGGCTTGTCTGAACTCTCTCCGAACTCAATGGGATCTTTCTTGCGTTCTTGAGGATCGGGTTCTAGATTTCGTCAAGTTTTAGTGTTTCTTCTTTCCTGTTGAAGTTTTCCATATGTTTGTGTAGTTCTATAGTTTCACGTACAAGACGATTGTGGTAACCGGAAGTCGGTGCAAGAAGCTTGACCTTAACAAAGAGTATTTCGTGATTCCGTTCACTAAGCGCATGTTCCGGAACTGCCGATTTTTCCGATTATCCTAGTTTGCAGTTCCTTTTGTGCTTGTTCATCCTGGTTCTCACGGATCTTTTTGTCGAAGTTTTTCGAAGTGCCGATCTCGGTTTCCGCTACGTTGATGCTGTTCACGGCTAATCCTGCTTGGAAATTGAAAGAGCAAAGCGCAAAGGAAAGCGATAAGACTTGTTGTGAAATAACTCACAACACTACACATAAATTTACATTGTTTATCATGCTTTGGTAATAAGGCGTAAGGCGCCGACTTTAGATAGAATAACCGTATTACCTAACTTCTGCTGCGAGTCAGGTTATAATTACCTTTACCTGGTTACCTTTTTGCACCACCTGTCCCACCAATCGTATAGCAGAAGTTAGGTAATACGGTTATTCTATCTAAAGTCGGCGCTTAATTACCAAAGCATGATTAACAATGTAAATTTATACCGGGTAGGCCAATGAAAACGGAACAAGGCTGATATCTCGTATTCATCGTTCATTGAAAAAAATCGCTCGAACCCGTCGATTTTTATTCGGAGGGGGAAATCTTTTGCACTGCACATATTTTCAATGTTGTCACTTCAACCCTCTCACGGGGTTAAGTTCCAACCCTTAAATCTCAAATGATAGGGGTCAAGTTATACCTCATTTCAAAGATCATCGAATTCTCTTTTCAACGGTGCCTAGTTTTTTGAATTTGATGCAGTGGTTTTGGAGAAAATACATTTAAAAATAGACGGTACTATAGTCCAAGAGCCGGCAATACTAAAGGGTATGGGATCGGTGCAATGGATAATTTCTACATAAAACAATAGTTCATAGTAACCTTTCAACCAAATGGATGGTTTGCTTTAATTCTCATGGCCGTAAAGTTGTTTTATAATAAGAACTTTTATAAATAGAACAAAACCATAAGCGCAACAAATAAGAAGTACCTTGCGGTGTAGAGGGTTCTCATCATATGCAGCAAACACTTTATATTAACACAATTTCATGTTTCTTTTTTTTCCTAAAGACGTACAGCCGTATGCAAAATCCTTTTCACAGAATCCTCTTTTAACTTTAAAAGTGACTTTCAAAAATTTGTATTCAGCAAGCAAAATAACGCGCGCACTCGACTTTCAATGAGGGTTGCCATCATTTCCGGCCATCAAAATCGAGGCAACCCTATATATTATTTGAGAAGACATATTAAAGAATATATCTACCAATTTTCAGCTATTGCAACGATAACATTGTTCCTTCGAAAAAAGAGGGGTTTACGCTCAGCCACCAAAGGGTTGCGGCCATGAGCATCAAGGCAACCCATCCATTTAGTTTAAAGGTAACTTTGAGCTATTTTTTTTATGTGAAAATTATCCATTGCTAGGATCACATACCCGTTGCCGGCTCTCCTACGAAATCACAAGATTTAAGTCTAGGTTTTTTTTATCACTCAATAAAATTCAACTGAATACATTCTAATTCTAGATATCTTTTGAAAAAAAAAAACCTTAGTAAATTTAAAAAACTAGGCATCGTTGAAAAGAGAATTCGATAACCTTTGAAATGAGATATCACTTGAACCCTAATGCCATTTGAGATTTAAGGGTTGGAGCTTACCCCCGTGAAAGGGTTGAAGTGATAATATTGAAAATATGTGCAAAAGATTTCCTCCTCCAAATAAAAATCGACGGGTCCGAGAGATTTTTTTCAATGAACGATGGTCCTTGGTTCGTATCTTCACAACACGAACACGTCCGTTTTTTCCGGGAAAAAACTCAACAACCCTAGCCAGAGGCCATTTTAATGGAGGAGTGGATTCATCTCTCAATATAACAAGGTCATTAACTTTAACATTTTGATTGGGAACAAACGATTTAGGTCGATTTTGTAATAGTCCAGGAGGCAGTGAAATTTTTTTTTACACTTATTTTCCCAGTTGTTGTATATTGAATAGTTTGTTCTCTTGGTGATACAAAACAAAAATATTTGAGTTTCGCGAAAATTTTCGGATGGGTTCACAAGATCAATGAAAAATACAAGTACATCTATTTTCCCATAAATATTTCACATTCACTACAATAGAACATAAAGTACATAAAAATAGCAATTTGGCTTATCTCAGAAAGTGGAAAGTGAGTCTGGCTGAAATTTTTCGGATCTTCAATTTTTCACTTGCCAGACGTATTATCCATACTCACAGATTAGCCAGACTACTTTTTTACGTAACTTCAGTATATTTCCCACTAGTAGACCTATTTTTATCACTGGAAAAAAAAGGCTGTGCATTCGTAAGCTTTAACGCATTTTGCGCCTCAACCCATCGGAAAACCCCCCCTAAAAATATATGAAATTTGCTTAGAATTACTAACGCTACAATTCTATCCATGTTTTCTGACTGGGGAAATAAGTGCCGAAAATCGTCACTGCCTCCTAGACTATAACCTATTCAGATAGTCTTTAGTCCACAACTTCCACAACTGTTGTTCAACTTGTGAACATTTTTGCCATAGAGTGAATCGATTTTGAGATATACATCTATTACATCTTTCTCTGGGTAGTCAAACAAGAGCCAATTAGGAAATGTCCAAGAGTTAGGTGAGAATAATATGTGGGATCATTTGACAGTTCACATAAAGGTCGTGAGTTTAAGACTACTTCGACCTGAGCCAACAAAGTGGAGAGCTCCTCGAAAGTAAATTTAGTGTTGCACATGGCTCGTATTAGTTTTGCGCTTTTAATGGCTGCCTCCTATATTCCTCCACGATGTGGAGACCTAGCAGGGATGAACTTCCAAGTAATGAGATTGGCAGAAGAGAACTCCATTACTGATATCAGAGAGGGTAGTTTGAGGACCATCATGTAGAAGCCACAAATCTTCTTTTCTGAGAAGTAATCGAACTGTATGATTTTTAGACAGAAGAAGTATGGGAAATTTTTGTTGGCACAGGATATTTGCATTTGACAATCTTCCACCAACTCGCAGGATATTTTCAGAGTCTAGAAAGGGGTTTAATTTTTGAAGCTGTTTATTAATAGTGTGATCTTTGGTCTTTAGATTGTTTATTTCCTGTTTAAAACATGTGCGTTGAATAACATAACTTATTTTGGTTGCAGCATTTCGCAATTCTGGAACCGAGAGGGGACCCAACAACCGTTTTGGAGACGAGTATATTTTGAGAAAATGTCATGAAGTTCAGAATACAAGTTTTCGATTACATAAGTAGTTTTATATCCTACTGAACTATTATAACCATATAATATCGGGTCTTCAAAAAAAAAAACCAATCAAAGATTGCTATGGTTTTTTAAACGTATGTCTTAGCAAAATTTTTCTTTCATTTTCTCAATGAACCTAATGTCAAAATGGCATGTCAAAAATCGTGACCAATAAAGAAACAGTAATGCGACGTACGTTTTCGTAATCAAAGCAATCTTCGATTGGTTTTTTTTTTGAAGACCCGATACCTTGGTTACGATAATCATAAACAGGGTCTTAATTCCCGCGCGGGATTTAAGGATATCATAACTCCCAAGGGAGTTAAGGATTTCCATAACTCCCGCTTTTACCTTGAATCGGTTAAACTTTGAGAAAAATTCCTTTATAAAAATAGACAGAATACAGTAAATTCAGTAGGATATAAAATTATCGAGAAAATTATCTATGTACCACGGGAATTATCAGATGTTAATACCCACGGGCAATTGGTGTCCCTCGGGCCAGAGGCCCTCGGTACACAAACGTTGCCCTGGGGTATTAACACCCTCATAATTCCCTTGATACATAAATAACTATTTCATTCTGCAGGAAGATTTTTTATATACATATTTATTGAACTGAAAATTATATAAGTTCAACTTTGGATCGTATGAAAATTGGGGCCCATGCCACCAAAGAGCACAATTCAAAAGTTTTGATGGAAGTGAACCTCTGGACAATAAATCTGCTCGGTTTTGCTCAAACCTGACTTGTTTCCAGGAGAATTCCGAAGTCGCATCCTGTATCATGGCCACACGATTTGCAACAAATGTTGACCACCGTGAGGGGTGCGATTTCAGCCAGGCAAGAACTATTTCCGAGTCTGTCCACAGAGTTACGGAATGTATTTCGCAGAAATTTGTATCACATTTAAGTACTGATATTATGTATTGTAACCAAAGTTAAGAGAACACAACTCATCATTTCAAGCTTGGGGAGAGTAATTATTTTCAATGGCGAAACTCGACTTTTCGCACTAATGAGAGTAGATTTAACTAAATTATTTTCGTATAAAATACGGAGATATGCGCAGGCGCCATAGGCTTTGAGACTGGCAGCTTAGAAAAGATGTACTTCCACTCTTTGAATATGTTTGAATGTAGAAAGATGTCTAGGTATTTCAAGTTTTGATAAGCTCTCGAGATTTTCCAGAAAAAAATTCCAGTCAGAAAGTATTTCTGCAGGAATTGGAACTTTACCGCATAGTGTGCGGTAAAGTTAACTCTACAGCATATGTATGCGATAAAGTGGATTGCAAAGTGTGCGGTAAACTTTACCGCATAGTATGCGGTAAAGTAGACTTTGGTATTTATGATTAAAAATCTTTTTCAGAAAATGGATTTTTGATCATTTCTAAATCTAATCTAATTTCATTAATTAATCTGATTCATTAACTAATTTTATTAATGCCTTTTTTTGGAGATGTATATGCTCATAGGTAAAATTTTGTACCTAACACATGCGGAAAGTGCCTTTACCCTTAACGGCTTGACCGAACTCCGCTTCGCGTCGTTCGGTAAAGTATCACACAGTTACCACGATAGGATTTATTAGGCCAATGGGGTCGAATATAGATACTATATTATTGATAGGTAGCACTTCTCGTTTAGAATAGGATACCTTGAGGATTAGAGAAGGAAGAACTATGGAAAAACTGTCTTTTGAGGAATTCCAAGACAATCCTAATACTTTATTAGGATGATTTCCTGAGTCCAATATACAGGGTGAGTTACTAAGCGCGCGGTCGTCCATATGTCCTATAGTAACGGAGATCGAAGAAAAAACTAAATACAAAACTTGTAGATATACATGAGTACTACATTCCTAAATTATTTTCCAGTACACAGGGTGGCCCAATAAGTAGTGGTGACACGAAGTTATGTTTTTTTAAATTACTCCCCCTGTATATTATGACATTTCTAGATTCTGCGGAAAATTCTAGACATATTTCATGTTCAATGTCATACACCTATCTTCATTTGTTTCGGAAATATTGACAGTTTACAATTGACTTTTTTGCACAGACTGTAAAACCTAAACGGTTAATTTCACAGCAAAACCGATCATACATTCGTGTCTTAGTTTTTCATGAACTGTCATTTGACACCAACCTTGAATTTATTCCATGATTAAAAATTCCGCTTAAATTATTAATCTTCAGGGACGCAGCAAGTCAAAACCGGGCCCTGGTGCAAGACTAGAGCACACCGGGCTCCCTTCACCATGGGAATCGGAAGGTTCATATTCATTGACGGCGAAACAAATTCGTAGGCGAGAAATTTTCATATTTTTGTAACATGTACCAGAAATAACGTTTTTCGGCAACTGTTCTGGAAGTACATACTTTTCGAACGCGTTTTACTTAAGAAAGTATGTCTCTTTCAGCCCAGGCCAGGAAGTGATTACTTAGCCAAGAAGTGATTAATTTCCGGCCTAGTCTGGACTTCTCACGTAATATACTATTCTAGTCTAAAGAACTCTAAAAATTGATTAAACCGCGTTGACAAAAATGTGAAGTAAATGTGACATTAAAAATTTTAAACTGATTACGCATTGGCATTGTTGTGGGAAGAGGGCCAGGTAAAATTTGTTTCTGATTGCTATAACGACTTTCAAGGACTAGGCCAAAAATGGAGCATTTTATGGCCTAGGCCAGTAATGAAGCATTTTACGGACTGACATGGGTCCGTAAAATAGCCATTTTTGAGAGCTAATACTTGACTGAGATTGACAATTGCAAAGATTGACAGGACTACTAGGAATCGGAGGGCTAACTGAAAAGAAATCTGTAGGGATTGATATTACAGTTTTCTGTTTCGGTTTAAAAATGCCAAAGTGAATATTGCTTTTTTGATTTTCTTGTATTTTGTGTGTGGTTGTGTCCAGAAAGCGCCAGGACAATCGGGCCCCGGGCCCTTGTGCGCGGCACGATTTGCATGCCCTGTTGCTACGTCCCTGTTATTCTTCATCATCAAATGCTAGTTTATGAAAAACTAAGATAAGAATGTATGATCGGTTTTGCTGTAAAATTAACCGTTCATGTTTTACAGTTTGTCAAAGATGCAAAAAAGTCAATTTTCAACTGTCAATATTTCCGAAACAGTTGAAGATAGGTGTATGATATTAAACATGAAATATGTCTAGAATTTTCCGCAGAATCCAGAAATGTCATAATATACAGGGGGAGTCATTTAAAAAAACATAACTTTATGTCACCACTACTTATTGGGCCACCCTGTATACTGGAAAATAATTTAGGAATGTAGTACTCATGTTTACCTACAAGTTTTGTATTCAGCTTTTTCTTAGATCTCTGTTAATATAGGAGCTATGGGCCACCGTGCGCTTAGTAACTCATGTACTGTATAGTTAAGAGTCCGAAGAAATTCCCGAAATTGACTTGAGAAATTCATGACTGTTGGATCTCCATTTGTGAATAGTTATGCCTGCAGATTTTAAGTTTTCAGTTAGTTTGTTGTGAATCTTTAGGAGAGTGTCGTAATCATTGCAGCCATGCAGGATATCATCAACGTAGCATGAATTTAGAAGAGCGTCGCTTGCAAGAGGGTACTTTTCCTTGTTTTCTTGGGCTAGAGCTACAAGGCATCTAGTGCTTAGAAAGGGGGTACAGTTCGTTCCATAAGTCACGGTTTGAAGCTCGAGACACTGAATATTTTCTTGAGGAGACTCTCGCCAGAGAATATTCAGCAAAAACGTTTGGTTCGGGTTTATTCTAATTTGTCTGAACATCTTCTGAATATCTATTATAACTACATACCTGAAGGTCCTAAACTTGAGCAATATGTTGAATAGCTGAACAGTATACCCTTTTAGAGTTATGTCATTTAAGCGAAACTCCTGATTATGATTTCATTGACCCGTCAAACACAACTCAAAGTTTGGTAGTGACATTATCCTCTCGTATGAGCTAAAAAATATTTGACTTCAGAGGGAATATCATGTGAAGAAAGTGGAACATATTTAGGGTGATTTGAAAAAAACATATTCAGAAATAAAGTTTCTGTATTGAGAATAAAGGTTTTTAGATTTTTGTAATCTTTTTTTCTAGGTTAAAAAACCGTCTTTTGGCTTGAGAAAATGAGTCCCCGAGCTCATTGGCGTTTTCCAGAGGTAAATTAATTTGAAATCTGCTACACGGCAAGCGTTCAGTAGTTTTTGTGAATATTTTTTCAGCCTTTTGTTCTGAAGGAGTTAGTAAGTTAGAGGAGTTCGAAGGACAGTCTTCGCATTCCCAGAATTTCTTCATCAAAATATTTGTGTCATCACAGTACGAGTTCGAAGAGGAAGAGCTTGGTTGATTATTTGAGTGAGATGCTTCGGACAAGCAGAAATAATAGTGAACATGTAGACTTTTTCGTTGAGGAGATGAGTGAGACAATTTTCCTGACACATTATATCCGAGATGAGTATTTTGGAGTGTATAGGTAGATTATGACCGAGTTTGACCAATTCATCTATCAACAGTTCGAAATAAATATCTGCTCCTAACATCATGTCTATTTGAGCGAATTCGTGAAAAGCGGGGTCTGCTAACTTAATTCCTTCAGGTATATTTAATGAGTGATGTTGAAAGAAAATTGAGGGTGATGGGAAGTTATATTATTCGGAATAGCGCTGGAAATGTTAAACCCTTTGCTTGAATTAATTAGAGAGAAAAATTCAATGTCAACCATTTTATTTGTAAAGGGGCAACTTCTCGAAGTACCTGAAATCTGTAGTGATTTATTGTAGATGTTGAGATTCAGTTTTTTAACTAAACTTCCTGCGATGAAAGAGGTTTGACTTCCCGAGTCTAACAAGCAACGAACAGTAATTGGTATATTTTGAAAATTATAGATGGCTACACATGCTGTAGCAAGCAAGACTTCAGTGCTGAAGGATGAATATACCAGAAAGGGATGTGGATTCGTTATTTTCGGAGGAGGGTTTTGAGAATTCTGACGAAGATTGCTAGTAGTAATTCTAGAATTAGAATTAGGAAAAGACCTAGAGGGAAATGGTGTATTATTATCGAAATGCAATAATTATTGTCAAAAAGACTGCTCTTAATCGTAACCCAAAACTAATGAGAAATTCGGCATCTTCCAATTTTTATTGATTTGATAATCCTTGCTGGAGTTTTTGATTTTTTTTTGTTTTTAATTTTACAGATGCTACTGCCTCCCTTGAACGCAGATAGAGCTCAAATCATAAGCGATTGGTGTAAAGAACTAAGAACTTACTTTGATAAATCCTCAAATGAGTCGCCGTCAGTCTTAAGATGCTGGTCTTATCCATACGTTTTGCACTTTTGGATACCATCGGCACCAGCCCGGCCAGTTCGGCTATAAAAGCATTCAGCCGATCTCTGCGTTGTTTTTCAGCCTTGTTCCGCATCTCGCGGCTATTACTGAAACAAATACAAAAAATTAATCGAAATGTCCATCATATTGCTTTCATTCAAGTAAATGAGTCAGTATTTCTACTATTTCGTTAATTCCCAGTAACTTTAGGGGTTTCTATGGTGATATGAGGGAAAATATCATCGCGTATCTCAAATTGGACACATGCCCGAAATGCCTGAACGAGCCAAATATAATTAACATTATATTTTTGTTTCGGTTCGAGTAAATAAACAATCTTTTAATAGCCACATTTAATTAATGAATATTTAATGGTGGTATTTGTTTCATAATTATCTATTATCAGGTGGTTCATCAGTTTTATTCGAATAATATTATTTCTGCATCAGAGCATCAAAATAATAATAAGGTTTTTGGATTGGTTTTCTCATTCTATTCCACATATATTTTCATAGATAAAGAGGTACTTGGGAACCGACATTTGAGCTAAATGTTGTAGCCAACTTTATGTTCTATAAAAGTTTATATTTATTATTAACAGGTATGTATATCGATCGCCATTTGACGTCAAAACAATATATGTTTTCCAAACCTATAAGATGAAAAAAACCAATTATAATCAGGGTCGTATTGTTACCTTGTAATTGGAGCGCGTCTGGGAAAATTCGAAACCAATTTTAGATCAATTGGTTTTCAGGGCATATGGACAAAAATGTTTAATGAAAGGAAAGCTTGCTTGTATAATAGAGAGAAAATGGCAAAGGGGAAGTTTGAAAAAGAAATTAAGTACCTATTGTGGTACTTTTGATGTCTTCTGTATATAGTTTTTGTACAAGATGAATAAACTCTTAAGACCTGAACGATTCGACGCTGATCAAAACTCTCCAAAAACTGCACAAGTGTGGAATCACTGGAAAGCAACTTTCAACAATTTCATATCATCCGTTGATAAGCTAGAAAATGATGGAACACTGAAACTCTTGGTGAACTATGTAAGCCCCAACAATTATAAGCACATATCCTGCTGTGCTTCTCACTCAGAAGCTATTAAGATTTTGGATTCAATTTTCATTAAACCTAAAAATGAAATATTTGCCAGACAACCTGGAGAGACTGTTGATCAGTACTTACAAGCATTAAAACTTCCAAGTAGAGACTCTAACTTCAAAGCCGTCAGCGCTGAAGAAAGTCAAAACAATTATATTAGAGATTCTTTCATTAGTGGCCTTCCCAAATTCGACAACGATTGTTGGAGAATACTACTTTGAAACTTGATGAAGCCAAGAATCAAGCTCTATCTCTAAAGTCGGCACAAAAACATTCAGAAGCATATAGCATCTCTCACGGTGTGATTAACTCAATTCAATCTGAAAGTAGAGAAACACATGATGAAGACCTCATTTCCGCTGCTACGAAAGTGTACAAATGTTATTTCTTTGGAAGTACTAAAAGACATTTTCGCACGTTATGCCCTGCTAAAGATTCAACGTGTACTGAATGCGGTAAAAGTGGACATTTCTCCAAGGTATGTCTAAGCAAAAGAAAAGTCAAAGCTTCTGCCTCAATTATACCTGCTTCTGGGCTTCCTTGTGCGGCACCTGGAAGTTTAACCAAATGCCTTACCAAAATTAAATTGAACAATGTCGTTGCTAATGCTTCAGTAGATACAGGGAGTTCTCTGAAATAAACATTAATAAAACTTTTGCCTCATTTATCGATGCACCTATACATTCAAGCACTGGATATATACTAATGGCCACAACAGCCTTAGTCTGAAATATCAGGTCATTGCTTTGTAGACTAAGAAATGATGGGGCATACATACAGAAAATTACGTTTATCGTTTATCAGTTCTTTCTGATTTATGTGCTGATGTCATTATAGGTCATGATATTTTTAGACAGCATTCAATCCTTGAAGTATCTTTTGGAGGTTCTAAATCTCCCTTGTATATTGACAACTTATCATCAATTTGTAGTTTGGCGTTCCTAAAAATTGATCCGCCTACATTATTTTCAAATCTATCAGCAGACTGCAGGCCAATTACAACAAAATCTAGACGATTTTCACCAGAAGATAGACACTTTATTTCTATTGAAATAAGAAACCTTCTTTTAAATAAAATCATAGAAAAAAGCAACCATAGAATAAGGTTTATAGTGGGTATAGAATGGACAGTCCCATTATACGGGTCGGACAACCATTTGTGGCGCTATCTGTTGTCTATGAAATGAGCTCATCCCATTGTAGCAGCTTGTAGAGCAGTTTGCTTCTTATTTTTTTTTTAGATTTGCTTTTTATTTATTTTATAATAAAGACACAATTTGATACAAATTTAACAAATAACGGTTTATTACAAAGAAAGAAGAAAATTATGTTGGCTACAAATACACACAGATATGCTCTATCACTACGAGACACTTTTTCAACCAATAGAAATATTAAAGCAACAATAAGAAGCACAACGTTTTCTAGTTCATCGTTTTGTCATCATTTGTTATTTCATGAATTTATGTTGGTTCATGTCATAATTTAATTAGTAATCACGTCAACCTTCTTCTGAAGCGGAGATACCTTGGAGATACAATCAACAACGCGTACGCAAATCAATTGATAGCGCCTCTACCGGGCATGAAACAAGTTTATCATCGAACCAAGTGGTACCATCGTCACCAAAAGTAACTGGGACAGCATCACATTAGCTCTTGTCCTATTATATGAATTTTATTGTCAAATATTTGTCAAATTATGCATTAAATGCATTGAAATGGATGACAGTAGAATTAGTCCAGGAGATTATTATGCATTATTTGTGTCCCAGTTACTTTTTGTGACGATGGTACATTTGAAGATCGCGGGGTATGAAAGCAACTAGGCACTAGCTGACGTCACACACAACCTCACATTCGACTTTCGATAGGGGGACAAACAAAGCGTTTGAAAGTCTATTTTTACACGCAGGCGCTAGCTATTACGTCAAAAAGCATATAACGTCACTTTCGATAGGGGGTCCAAAAAGGTCATTGAGAGGTTATGTGTGTGATGTCAGCTAGTGCCTAACTCTTCTTGGCGGGCACAGGTGTTGGTAACGAAAAATGAAACGCACAAGAAAAGGATGGTTACCGATTACTCTCAAACCATTAACAGGTTTACATATTTAGATGCCTATCCTCTGCCCAATATTGAAGATATTGTATTCATATCGTGTCCTTAATTTTGTTATAGGGAGATTCGTAGGTGTTAGGACTGGGATCAAAAAGAAACTATCAAGTTTTCGGCAACGTTTCGGATTTTTATTAATCCTTCATCAAGCCCTAAAGGGAAGAAATAAGGCACATCAGTACAACATGTGCCAAACAAATTTGGAGGTTTTGTTAACTTACTTAGACTGTTGTCTCCGGGATCCGTACAGTTGAGAGAAAGGCACCTATTTTCATGCTTTTTATTGGTTGTCGTTGATTTTTTTTAAATGTCTATGATAGAAGGAGAAAGGTCCGGCCAGGGTCCTTATTCTTGAACCAGGAGAGCAGTGTTCCCAGGAGAACAAGTGTTCCGTCTTTCTCAATGATATGCAAATGATAAAATAAGTAGGTAACAAAGATGGAACACTCGTTCTCCCGGGAACGCTGCTCTCCTGTTTCAAGAATAAGGCCCCAGGAGCAACCAAATGAGAATCATCTCGTTTGGTTGCTCTTGGGTCGGATCACTCATGCTTTCTGTGATGATGGGTTTGTTAGGACATAGTTCGGAGTCGGTTCTGGGTTGAGCTGCGCTCGCGCGGTTGTTTACGTCAAACATAATTAGACAGGCGCGCGGGCGCAAATCGATTCGGAGCTGATTCTGAATTAGTTCTGAGCTGAGTCCGAGCAGACCTAGTAGCAATGTTTAATGAGAGTAGAGTGCATCAGTATGTGATTAGGTGATGTGTTGCTTCAGGTGTGAAAAACCATGTAATGTTCCATTTTATTGATGGATTGAATGATGTCAGCGACAGTATCCTTGATATCTATAATAGAGGGAGGAAAAAGGTCTGCAACCAAATAAGTATCATCTTGTTTGGTTGCTCTTGGTTAGATCACCCATACTTTCTGTGATAATATGTTTGGACATGGTTTGGAGTCGGTTCTGAGTTGAGCTGCGCTCGTGCGGTTCTTTACATTAAACATAGATACACAGGCGCGCGGGTGCGGATCGATTTAAAACTGATTCTGAACTGGTTTTGAACTGAGGCCGAATAAGCCTAATAATAATGTTCAATAAGAGTAGGATACATCAGGATGTAATTGAGTGATCCCGGAGACGTCTTAAGTAAGTTGACAAAACCTCCAAAGATTTGTGTTGCACATGTTGTACTAATGTGCCTTATTTCTTCCCTTTAGGGATTGATAAAAGATTAATAAAACGTTGCCGAAAACTTGATAGTTTCTTTTTGATCCCAGTCCTATAACCCACGAATCTCCCTATATTGAAGATATTGTTCGTGTTGTGGCGAAATTCAAGATTTTCAGTACTATAGATTTACAAAGTGCATCACCAAGTTCCCATACGTGACGACGAAAAGCAGTAGGTATACTGCTTTTGAGGCACATGGAAAATTATATCAGTTCCGAAGAATTCCTTTTGGTGTGACAAACGGAGTTGCGTGTTTTCAGCAGGTAATAGACTACATAATAAAATCAGAGAATCTTGAAGGTGTCTATGCATATTTAGATGATATTACGATATGCGGTAGAAATTAAGCAGACCATGATAAAAATGTAAAAGAATTTTTAATCTGTATCTTTTATGTTTGATATCAAACACAGTGGCAAAATAAAAAATAAGAAGATTTTAAAATGGCGACTTGAACTACCATGTTACAGCTATATTATAGTATATAGATCAGGACGAGAAAATGTAGTGTCTGATACATTTTCTCGACTATGTGGTTCAAATAGTTAGAAAACTTTATTCGATTTACATCAAGCTTTGTGTCATCCTGAATGGTCCACTGGGTCAGATCTCGCAATATGCCCTACTCTGTAGAAGATATTCGTATTATGTCAGC